AAAAAGTAGTTTGAATAGTGTCTATCTGTGGCATGATTGAAGGCAAAAAATGACAGAAACGTCACGAATAGCGCGTGGAGATAGATGAGGCTGATTGATAATTGTCGCAAATCATAAAATGGATCGATAGCTAGCGCGCGATATCAGACTGTGAAATTAGATGTCTAGGATGAATGAATCATGCATTAAGCGTCTTAGATGCATTTGTTATGTGGCCCTATCGATAAGGCGGGTTGTAAGTATCTGATAACGTTCAATAAAGGAAAGGCAAGCTGCAGCTCGGAGATTTGTTTATACTGATTGTGTTGAGGCAGTTAAATTGTGTGTGAATGGTGGAGACGAGAGGCGCCTGTCATTTGACAAAGCGTACATGCTATGAGCAATATCGAGCAGTCGGGAGTGGCGGACCCGAGGGAGGCCAACGACCGACAGCGAGATGAGAGGGTTGTTACATCTTTTGTGTAGTTCTTATGACAAGAGTACAATGGCAAGAAAATCAGCCGAGCGTTCAGCGAGAGTACCCGACCAGCGTTACTGGTGATAAATTCACAATAAATAAAGACCTTTTATATCCTCAAATTTGTTTTACAAAGACAATAAGCTATTTTATTTGCGAGAGTTAATAAATAGTTGAACAGAAAAGGTTTTACGGTTTCATCGTACGTGAAGTTGCTAGATTGATTGGCGTCATTAATAGCACACGCAGACAGTATATCTGTCTTCTACAGTCGAGGGTGAAGTGTAGGGGTGGCACTTTAACTTTATTTTACTTTGAAAAAGTAAAGTAAAGTAAAGTAAAAAAGTTACTTTACTTTATCGAATAAAGTAAAGATAGGATTAATCACTTTACCAAAAAAATAAAGTATAGTCAGATAGATAAAACTCACAATTCTGAGCAATATTTTACTTTACTTTACTTTACTTTTGAGGTAAAGTGTACCCAATCTACTTTACTTTACTGGATAAAGTAAAGTAACATAATTAACTTTACTTTATCCAGTAAAGTAAAGTGACCAATTCTACTTTTACTTTATTCGATAAAGTAAAGTATCTCGACTTTACTTTACTCGGTAAAGTAAAGATAAAGTGCCACCCCTAGTGAAGTGAGTTGGCACGACGAACGCTGCTTGTTTTTTTTATAGATGGGCAATAATTTGGTGACAGTTCTATTCTATATTGTCAAAATAAAGCATACTTAGCTCATCTATCTATCTTATGGAGCGCTATGATGGAGTACCCAGGTCGACAAATCCGGCCCGGAACCGGCCGGTTCTACCGCGTTCCGGCTATTTCATGGAAGCAGGCTTCCACATCGGAAGTCCTCGGGCAATTTCCGATAAATTCCGATCAGATCCTGACAAAAAAGTTCGGAAATATTTGGAAACGAATCCCGAAATTTCCGTACATTATCCAAGACATCGTAACCAGTAGGAACCTGACAGATCCATAAATAGGTTTCCGGCCACTTGGAACCTAATATTTCCGTCGACTTCCAGAAAATCATTGTCTATACTAACGACCCCACTCTACATTCATCATAACACACACTACAAAATTAACCGCCACTCTAAGATCTGCATTCCCGCCTAACTCAGTGTTATCGAAACCACATGGGAGGCTCAAAATCCGACTTTAATCCTCTCAAAAATCCTAAGAAAAAAATGGTCGTTTCTGAGACGGGTACTTGAGAACTTTGTTTTTTTTCATACACGATTATTAATCGGATCTTAATTCTCTCAAAAATCCGACGAACGAAGGGTGGATTTAGGGTGAGAATTGGTAGCTACTAATGGGTTTGTTATGCGATGGGAAAAGTTTCCATAGGTTTGGAATGAAACGCGGCAGGATACGCTGTTTTTTGTGAAATTTAGTATTTTTTTGGGGGGTTGGGCCTAAATACGATGGGAACTATGTGGATGTGATCGGTTCTGATGGGAAACGATTGGAATGTGCTGGATAGGTACGTCGGGTTCTGGGAATTTCCGGTGTCGGGAACCGGTCGTCCCATGCGGAATTTTATGGAAAACGTTTGGAATATTTTGGAAAGGTTCGGAATGTGGGTAGTTTTTTTGGTTATGTTTTGTATCCGGTTGGTTCCGTTGGGATACGGTTAGTTACGGTGGACCAGTTTTTCTCGGATTTTTTTTCATGGACGGTTCCGATGGGAGGTTACGGGAACCGATGAGCGGTTACTGTCGGTTTTGGGCGAATCCGGGTCCGGGTCATTCCGGTCTGGAACACTGCTTCCACATTCCTGCTGTTTTCCGAACGGAACCTTTGCGATCTGGTGGGAACCGGACGGATTGAGCCGAAAAAGGGGTGCTTTCCCCTTGGTCCCGTCCGGATCCGGAGGCCGGAAGTGTCGACCTGGGTAGATCTCAATAATGTCAGAAAATTGATCAAAATGTCATAAATTTCAACAACTCCACTATAAATACTTATTTGTTGATTAATTTTTCACACGATTTTTAGTGTTGTATGATAGCCTGCGTAAAGATACTCTGATGTGTTGTGAATAATGTTAGAATCTCCCTGAATAGATAATGATTTATAGTGGAATTGTTGAAATTTATGACATTTTGATCAATTTTCTGACATTATTGAGATCTATTCCATCATAGCGCTCCATAAGATAGATAGATGAGCTAAGTATGCTTTATTTTGACAATATAGAATGGAACTGTCACCAAATTATTGCCCACCTATAAAAACAAGTAACGCTCATCCTTTGGATTCGCTGACCCTTTTCTGAAAGACTTTTCCGAATGCTGAACACATTCAGAGACTTCGAAAGAGAAAAAACGCACTGCGATTGCTACTAGTGCTGAACTGAATCATGGCACTATGTCACACACTAGAA